GCAACATTTACTAGAAGAGTACATCACTCACTATTGTGATGGCCAAGGTATTCATTTGTACTACTTCAAATTAAGTTGTACTACATTACCTGTCACCTCCATTTCCCTCTCTGTTATCTATCGGGTTGCCACCATAGAGCCTTCCAGGTATAGCATTTCCAATAGAGAAGTGCATAATGTCAACTTCATGGCCTTTGCAAGTCTTGTTGGTGCAAGAGCCCCTTTGTTCTTGACAGCCACCCATCTTGCACCATAATAAACTTTCTCAACTTTCATCCTTGCATCAATGAGAAGCTACCAAAGAGTAACAAAGTAAGATAAATATAACACAAGTTAGTTGACCTAACTTACATTATGATAGGTAGCATCATCGCCAATTTGAAACATGAGAGCTGCAGAAGGGCATTTGCTGTTATCCCTGCATTAAAGAGTAAAAACCCAGTTCACCATAAAGCTTTTACATAAATAAATCAGCCTGTGGCAACAGATTTAACTGCGAAATGCTCTCTATTCAATTTACAGAATAGAAAGGAATGAATATTAAAAACTAGACCACATAAAACAAAAAGCAAGAAAGTAAACCGATTTGGCATGCCATGGATAATGATATTTTGATGCATAGAGCAAAGATAATAGCATCGTAATTTAATAAGCTTCTTTTTGTAGCTATTTGCGAGGCACAAGCTATCCAACTTTATTGGACATCTCAAACAGGATCAAAAGACCAAAATCTTTTGGGGTTCGATAGCAGTTAATTCAAATTCATCTCTGAACACATCAAAAGAGAGAAATCTAGTTCTAAAAAAAGTTTACCCTTTGGAGTAGGCATAGTCCCCATCAACTTGCAGCAAGAAGAAGACATCATTTCCATCATGTAAAGCCTAAGAACATCCCACAAAAATATTGCATCAAAACTCATCGGTCAAATGTTTTTCTTTTTTCTTTTTTTGAAGTCCAAGCAACAGCCAACTTACCTTCACTGTCATTTTTCCATCTTTGTACTCGTGGTCCTCGTCTGGGTCAAGAGCAGGGAGGAGAGAGAACTCGAACCCATCAATGTATTTCCAATCATCGGCGTGACCATCGAGCGTAATGACTCCCGGCCTGAAATCCGCCTGGACTCGGATCTCCGAGTTCGACTCACAACTCCACCGTTCCGATTCCTCGTGCGAGCTGACCCGTCTGGTTAGCCCGGGGCCCAAGACCACGAACGCTAGCAGGAGGACCCGAAGCATCCTCAAGCACGAAATTTCGTTATTCAAGCGGGTGTATCGGTTCTCGTTAGCTTGTTTATCAAATTTTTTGGGTCAGTATTCACTGGCCGACCTCTCAAACATACACGCCTCTTGACTTTTTAATGTAACGACATCAAACACTAAATCTGATTTAAAATTTTTCTCGTACTTTGACAACTTATATTGCAGTTTCCTGTACTTCAATCTTTAAAATTGTACTGCTTATTTCAATAAAGTTACAAAAATTAATATACAGTCCGAATCAAAATTTCTCAAATTATTTAATATTTAATCACTTTATCAAATCTAAGCTTTAAGTAAAAATTTTATATTTTGTTTGTTTCCATATAAAAACACCTTGTCTTAAAATTATTATATTTTTTATTTATCATTAACTCATAATAGAGAGATTTTAAATATTAAAATGAGTAGGTAAGAGTAGAGTTACAAATTTACACGTGGTTGAATTAAAACATTCATAGTTACACAACGTAATAATCATTATCCAATATCTGTTAAATCTATTATTAGATTTTTTAGTTTATATTTCTAGTTTCCTTATATTTAGATATTTTTTATATTTCTAGTGTTTGGGGTAGAATTGGGACTAAAATATTTGTCAATTTGTAGATATGTCGAGCAATTATCACTGAATTTACAATTCATCAGATCCTCACACAACCAAAACGAGTTATGATGGGAACAGTACTAAGGACGTTACAAGTAATATTTGTGGTTCATAAAATTCCAATCCTTTTTTTTGTATCGCATCGTTGAATTAATTGAAATCTGCAGCCGCCATGTTGATCTCTTTGACCAAAATTTTCGGACCTTTTTGACGGCTTAGGTAGGCAATCACGAAGAGTTTGGACGCTTTGCCTGGTTATCCGCCCAGCCTGCCACCTGCAATTCCGCGCCGAATGCAGTGATTAAAAAGGAATATGTTATTTTTATTATTTTATTTTTCTCTCCTTGTTTATATTTTCCAGTCGTATTGCAAAAAATAAAATAAAATAAAATCACGCAGCACTTTCATTTTTCAAATAGATGCCGCAGTCTTAGATTAATGCGGTCAACAGTATCTTCAGATTTTAACGTAAGTTTAATTTTTTATGGAAAGGTATTAAAGGTGCACTTATCGACATGGTTTAATGTATTTGAGATTTTATTTTCAAAATATTCTCACAAAAATTAAATCTTAATTGACAAAAAAAAAAATTATGGGGACTTGGCTAGGTAATTAGGGGCAAGACACAAGGATATGTGTTTTCATCAAATAAAATATTCAAATATTGTTTTTAAATGAAAAAAATTATATTTATTGTGATAATTAAGATTTAACTTGGTTGCTAAACATATATTGTAGCACCTATGGAGTCTGCGATTTAATGGCGCACCACCTAAGCAATGTTGTAGTGCTGCTGTACTTCATTATAAACTATACATCAATGTTGTGGTGCAATGCTGTAATTCTAACCTCAAAAAAAAAAAATCAATTAATTTAAAGCTTCGTATCATTAATTACCAACATGTGTTGTTTGTCGTCCTTGATCCATGGTTTAAAAGTTTAACCTTGGATTTTGCCAAAAGTAAAAAGCATGCCCGAACTACAATTCAACTAAATCCTATGTAGAATTTCAAATTTTATCACCCACCCCAATTTGTTATGGAAAAAAAAAATATTAACTTACTATTTATCATGTTTCGTTCTTTATAGAAAAAATAAACATATTCTTTGTTTATGATTTGTCTCGCAAAAAAGACTGAATGGTTGATTATTTAATTTTATTAGGGATGTTAAGAGGTAAAGTATTTGCTATTTTTGAAATATTTTAATTTTAATTTTATTATTTAATAAGATATTAAAATTTTATAAATAATTGATTACTATTTTTAAATTGTTACGCTGCTTAAATATTGTGATCGCTTTCTTACAAAATTTTGACCCTTTTTCAGGGTTT